CCATTCTATAGCATCTAAAAGAATAGCTGCCCTGTAGCCATTTATATTAATATAATAGCCAAAATATAACATTTAGAACTGATAAAATATTTGTCCTATGGCCTTTAATAATAAAACTAATCTAAAACTAATATAATGTATGCCCTGTGCCCTTTAATATTGACATGTTATTTGTATTATGGCATCCAACACTAATATAATGGTTGCCCTGTGGCATTTATAATTGATATAATATCAGTAATATAGATTCTAGCCAAGTGCAGTGGTGTATGCCTGTAATCCCAGCAACTCAGGAGGCTGAGGCAGGAGAATCATGAGTTCAAGCCAGCCACAGCAACTTAGTGAGGCACTTAGCAACTCAGCAAGACCTCATCTCTAAATAAAATATAAAAAAGAGCTGGGGATGTTGCTCAGTGGTTAGGTACCCCTGGATTCAATTCAATCCCTGGTACAAATATATATATATCCTAAAACTAATGTAATAGATGCTGTATGGCCTTTAATTTTAATACAATACCATATTATTGCACTGAACACTAATATAATAGCTGATCTGTGATGTTTAACTAACATGACATCCATATTGATAGCATTGAAAACTGATATATTAATTCCCTGTGGCTTTTAATATTAATATAACATTATTAGTATAATATCTAATACTAATACAATAGCTGTCCTATGGCATTTAATATTACTAAGATATCATACTATAGCTTCTAAAACTAAAATAATAGCTGAACTTTGTTTGGTTCATTACTGATGTAATATACATGCCATTTTACATTAATTCAGTAACTACCCTATGACCTTCAGTGTTAATTTAATAATAACTATACTATAGTGTCTAACACTAGTATAAAGCTTCCCTTTAACCCAAACATAATATCTATATTATAATGTGTAAAACTAATACTTCTGGCCTTTAATACTTATATGAATTCCATACTGTACTATCTAATAATAATATAATAGATGTTCTGTGGTGTTAATACTCAAAATCTACAGTTTTGTATCTTAAAACTAAAAACTTCCCTGTGGTCTTTAACAGTAACATAATATCCATAGTGTATTTCTGATACTCATGTAATAGCTATCCTGTGTCCTTGAACATTACTATAATATCCATATTATTGCATCTGAGACAGCTGACTGCGGACTTCATTTCTAATATAATAGTCATCTATATCATCTAAAATTAATACAATAGCAGCCTTGTGGCCTTTAATATTCATATCAATACTGTAGCTTCTAAAACTAAAAAAAAAAGAGATAATAGCTGCACTCTGGTGACTATAATTAATATATTCCCTATATTATAGATTCTAAAACTAATACAGTTTGTGCCCTGTAGCCTTAAACACTACTATAATATCCATACTGTACAATCCACAACTAATATGATATTGCTTTGAGGATTTTAATTTTAATATAACATCCATACTATAGCATCTAAAACAAATATAATAGCTGCCCTATGACATTTAATACTAACATGCTATCCATACAGTAGCAAAAAGAAACTGATATATTAATGTCCTGTGTCTTTTATACTGATGTAACATCTTTAATATAGCATCTAATACTAATGTAATAACTGTCCTGTGGCCTTTAATATTAATATGATGTAGATATTATAGTAACAAAAATTAATATAACTGTCTTTTATTATTAAAACAATATCCCTACTGTGGCGTATAAAACAGGCCTCTCAACTCCAGTGTTTTCCTTCACCAATTGTTCTCATTTCCTGTATATTCCTCTACCACCTCCTTTCTCATCTCCCTGTGTATTATATTAACCATATCTATCCTGAAGGCTCTAACATTAATATAATATCCATAGTGTAGCCTCCAGAACCAATGTAATTGCTTTAATTTCACTTTTCATGCTAACATGATATCCACATATAGCATCTAAAACTAATACAATAGCTGAACTTTGGCCTTTAAAACTATTATAATATCCATAGCATGATATATTTTTTTAATTTATTTTTTAGTTGTAGTTGGACACAATACCTTTATTTTATTTATTTATTTTTATGTGGTGCTGAGGATTGAACACAGGGCCTCGCACGTGCTAGGCAAGCGTTCTACCACTGAACCACAATTCTAGCCCCATAGCATGGGATATCTTAAATAAATAGGTGCCTTTAATACTAATGAGATCTCAAAACTATAGCATCTGAAACTAATATAATAATTGCCCTGGGGCAATTAAAACTAATATGATATTTATAATATAGCATTCAAATAAAATAGAATAGCCAGCCAGTGGACATTAATGTTATTGTATCGTCCATAGACAACATCTAAAATTAATATTTTAATAAACTAAAACTGTGTATTTTAATATTAAATGCTATGGTATATATATATATATATATATATATATATATATATATATATATTCATTCATTCTATGACCTTTAGTACTATTGTGATATTCACATTGTACCACCTAATATTAATATAATAGCTGCCATGTGGCTTTATATTAATAGGCTATCTATCTTATGGCATGTAAAACTAATAAATAACTGCCACTTGGCTATCAATATAATATTATAGTACAGTACACAAATTATAGAATTGTAAATTATAGCACTGTATGGCCCTGTCACTTTTATAACTAATATAATGTCCAAATTATAACATCTAAAACTGATGTAATACCTATCCTATGGCTTCTAATGTAACAAAATATTCATAACATAGCATCTAAAATTAGTACTTTAGTTGCTTTGTGACCTTTGATATTAATTTAATAGCCATATAAGAGCATCTAAAATAAACATAGTAACTTCTCTGTGGCCTTTAATATTTCTGTAATATCCATGCTATGGCACCTAAAATAACATAATATCTGCCGTGTTGCATTTAACATTAATATAATATCCAAGTTATATTGTCCAAAATTAATATGATAACTCCCTGTAGCTTTTTATAGTAAAATGATATTCATACTACAGAATCTTAAGCTAATATAAAAACTGCAATGTGGCCTTGAATGCTAATGTCATATTCATAATATAGTACCTTAACTAATAAAGAAGAGGCTTTCTAGGGTCTTTAATCATCTTTAATATTAATGTAATGTCCATACATTAGCAAATAAAAATAATAAGAATATTCCCTGTTGCCTTTAACCTAATGTAATATTTATATTATGTATCTTTAAAAAAAATTTTTTTGGTTGTCAGTGGACCTTTACTTTATCTATTTATATGCAGTGCTGAGAATCAAACCTAATGCCTCACACATGCTAGGCAAGCACTATACAACTGAGTTACAACCCCAGCCCCTGCATCTTTTTTTAATTGCAAAAACAATTATTTTATATATCACTGGCCATAAATTTTTGTATTTAGTTATTACATAAATGATGCCTAGTGCCATTATTCTGCCCACAATCCACTTGTGCATTTATAAACATAATTTTCATGATTTATATAAGCACATCTATCAGTGAAGATGTTACAGTGAGGTACAATGTAACAACCATAAACTGATGCTTTGCAGATAGCAATGTAGAAGAAAATTATTTGTAATCATCTTTCACTTCAATGACTTTATATAAAAATCAATACTTTAGAATTAAATTCTAAGTCTCCAAAGGAGATTTTCAAATGTACATATAGAAATGGTTACAGAGAGAAGATTTATAAGAAACATGTCCACATGTCCACATCCTATTGTAACTGCTGTATCATTTTTTTTCCAACTTCTTTCCTTTGCCTGCAAGAGGGGCTCAGATAAGATGGAAGTTTTGCTTGACTTTTTTAATGTCCTGAACTTTCTGTAGCTCTATTTTTTTTCAATATATTCATTATAAATTTAGCTTGGCGTTTCTGTTTTATCTCTTCAACTCTCTTCATTGCATTAATAGTTTTATTCCGTAGTTCTTGCTGGCATTTGACAGGTTCATTTCTACATTTTTCAAATTCAAATGAATTATCCACTGTAGGCTCTTGACCAGCTGCTTTCCTGAATGCTTTAGTCCACCTGGCCTTGTGAGGATTATGCTTTATTTTAAAGTTCTTAGTACATTGGATTTACAGAATCTGAATACCTTGCAATAATTGAAGGTGAACATCATGCCATGACAGGGTAGGTGGACCCTGAACAGAAATAGCACTTCTTGATATGCATGTGAGCCTTGTGGGACCCCACCAACCCGGCCATGAGCTGGGGAAGAAGTGATGCCATATTATTACATCTTAAAACTAATGTAATATATGCCCTTGGCCTCCAATACTATTACAATATTTAAACATGCCATCTAAAACTAATATAAAAGCTGACTTGTGGTCTCTAACACTAACATTATATCCATAGCACTCCATCTGAAACTAATATAATAGCTGCCCTGTGGCAATGAATACTAATGTGATATCCATACTATAGTATTTAAAACTTAAATAATAGCTTCCCTATGGCCTTTAACATTAATATCATGCCATAGTATCTAACACTAATATAATAGCAGCCCTGTGACATTAAATACTAAGATGATGTTAATACTATAGCATCCAAAACCAGTATAATACCTGCATGGTGGTCTATAATACTACTGTAATATCCATACTATAGCAACTAAAGCTAATATAATAGGTGTTCTGTGTATTTAATATTAATATAATATTAATAATGTGGTCTTGAAACAGAAATAACAACTGCGTTTTATTCTAATATAATATCCTACTACATCTTGTAAAATTAATATAATAGCTGCCATGTAGGCCTTGAATACTAATATGACATTTATACTATACCTTGTAAATGCCCCCTCACCCTGCTTCATAACACTTCAGCTGCTCCTGGGACAGTATCTCATCCCCAGAAGCAACATCTGCCTCAGAGAACACTGTCCCTGTTGAGAACACCCTGTCAAGGACTGAAATCCCTTCTTCTTTGTCTTAGATATGGTAAAGGTGGTAGAGGAGCTGGGAGTGGGGTTTGGGATTGTTCCCACTTACCAGCATGTGCCCCATAGAAGCCATCTGAATGCTCAGAGCCTGTTTTAATATCATTAATAGGATATAAAGATGTCCCAGTTCAAGACTGGTGTGACACTCAGGTGCAATATTCACAATAACTGTGGGAAAAGTAGCTTGATTGTTTCAGGTCAAAATCACATTCAGGCAAACAGGATCTCTCCAACCTGCTCCAGAAGAATGCATTACAAGAATAGAGCAGATGTGGCCAACCAGCCCTGGATGGAGGAATGAGGCCTACCTTCAAATGTCATCCACACTGAAACCATCTTCTTCTCAAGGTCAGCCAGGCTGAAGCCTAGCCCCTTCTCAAGATCAAAATCAGAAAACCAAAATTATGTGGTGAACATTATGGTTAGGGTGGGTATTATGGATGGAGTTGAGCCTGAGCAAATTTGTGGTCTGGAGTGTGGTCAGATGTTGAGTACAGAGTAGGTAGGGGTTGTTTACAGAATAGATGTTAAACAGAAGCACATGGTTTGTGGGCTTATATTTAGGGTTTCTAGGGTGAGGTAAAAGCTAGGAGATAGGAAGTAGTGTTAGTGTTTTAGAGTTATGAATAGATAAGAGGGGTCAGAATAAGGGTCAAACCAAGAATTCCTTAGAATTCAGCATCCCTGGGATACTATCCTTCATACTGTGTTAACATTGACCACCACTTCTTATGACCCACTCTGTGACCCTACACCACTTATCAATTCCTGTGTAGCCCTGTATCACATCCCATATGGCTTCTGGTGTGCCCTCCACTGTCTGCTTTTACTGACCCTGTGTAGCACTCAACCTTCTCCTCCTATCTCCTCCTGTGTAACACTCCACCAGCACCTTTCATCTCTACCTGTGTAACCCTCCACCACCTCCTCTCACAGATTTCTGTGTAGCCCTCCATCTTCTCCTCTCATCTCACAATTTAGCCCTCCACCACTTCCTTTTATCCCCTCCTATGTACTCTCTTGTCACCTCCTCTCAAGGGCTCATGTGTAGCCCTTGACCATGTCCTCTCACAGCTTCTTTGTAGCACTCCACCATCTCTTCTCATCCCATCCTCTGTAGCCCTCCACCAACACCTCTCAACTCCTGTGTTTTCCTTCACTATCTGCCCTCATCTGCTGTATATTTCTCTACCACCTCCTTTCTCAGCCCCTTGTGTAACCCTTGACAATAATCTTTTACAGGTTACAGTGTAGCTCTTCACCACCTCCTCTCATGACAAAACTGTCCTTCCCAAGGATGCTCAGCCAGCCTCAACTAAATGTTTTCCTGGACTTTGACCTATTCTAGAAGTTGTTTAAGATTCTTCATGTCTTCTAATGACTTGCCCATGTAATTGGCTTTTTAGGTATTTCCTTTACATTTAATTCTTTAAATTCTAAAACCCAGATTCTTCATCAACGTTTGATTTTCTTCATTTGTGTTCTATTGCATTCAAAAGGCCAACTGCTTACTTCTTCAGGGTTGATTCTTAGTACTTTCCTCAGATAATGTAAAGACTACTTTTGTAAGTCTATGCTTTTGTTCAAGTATTCAGAAATGTCACTTACTTACTATATTGTTGTCATCTTTTGCAAACTTATTGTTCACCTAAGTGTTCTCTCTAGTGTTTCTTTCTCTTTCTCTTTCTCTCTCTCTCTCTCTCTCTCTCTCTCTCTCTCTCTCTCTCTCTCTCTCTCTCTC